TGCTTAACACATAAATTCTATAAATAAATAAGCCTATTATTATTATTATTATTATAGAGTCTTTATTGTCCTATAAGGATATCCTTTTCCACACATATCATTGTTACATTCCATGCAGGATGTACCCAGCCTCATACATATAACATACAGCATTTAACAAAACCAAAAATGTCACCGGAGTTTGTTAAGTGCAGTGATTGCTGAGGGTATAAAACCTTTCTTAAAGTTATAAGCCTAAATAAAGAATCGCACAAAGGTATTGTTTAGGTGATATTAGGCTTATATTTTATTATAAGGCTAAATAAAGAACTTCATAAGGGTATTGTTTAGGGCTCATTGCCATTAAAAAGTTTGAAACCACTTGCTAAAGAAAATATCAGAAATTCATGAGCAATAAATAATCATTTAACTTTAATGGTTTAATGTGCCCTGTACACAATTCATTGACTATACAAAAACACTTTATGGTTTTTCCCAAACCATCTCAGTGTAACAGCTTCACAGCAAACAATTTTACGTTCTGGGAACGTTCTGGGAATGTTAGTTTTTGGTTCTGGGAACGTTCTGGGAATTTTAGTTTTTGGTTCCCAGAACGTTCCCAGAATGTTCCCAAGAAAGTTCCCTATTGGTGATCCAGGAAAGTTTTCTTAACATAAATAGAACGTTCTCTTAAGGTTAGGGGAACGTTAGGGGAACGTCACCAATAGGATTATGGATGGATGGATGGATGGGTGTGTGTTCCCTATCGAGGGAACTCAAACTGCGTCCAAGTGACACTTTGGGGGGAACGCCCCTCAGCGTAGCGTCTCTGAAGCATGAATGAAACTAAGCCAATCTCCGATTGGATCAACGTGATGACGTGATGTGTGACGACACATAGGCGGTAGCATATATAAGGAACCGGCACACACAACATGTCAGCTTTCTGTTCTTCAGCTAAGCGCTCTCTGTGACTGTCAGTCTTATTTATTGTTTGTCTGTCTAAGCATATCTCCCTAAAATCTAAATAATGGCGAGTGTGAATTTCAGGCGGTGTGTGCACCCTTGCCCTCGCTACATCACGGGCGGGGACACACACCAACTGTGTACACATTGTCTGGGAATGCAGCACGCGCAGGCAGCTCTCGAGGGAGCTGCTTGCGAGCATTGTGAGGCTTTACCGCTCCGCGTGCTGCGTTCCCGGCTGGCCCTTTTCAATGAAGAGGGTCAGCCTCGTGAGCCCCGTGGTGCGGGACCCGCGTCCGCCGAGGCGGCGCGGCGACGCTCTTCATGGGGCTCGCAAATGGATCTGTCTGGGGATCCCGAGGCTGCTGAGGCACCTTCTCGGGATTCATCGGACAGTTCCGATGCCCTCGAGCCTCGCGCAGAAGCCCGCTCGGCGGCTTCTTCTGCGCGAGTCGAGGATCCGATGCTTGAGCTGTCTGCTTCCGAGGAGGTGGACGTGCTCAGCATCGAAGGGGGCGGGGACTTCGGGGATGACTCGCCACCCCGTGTCCCCGCATATGAGGAGCTGGTAGAGGTTGTTTCCCATGCAGTGGCTCATTTAAAGATCGATTGGCCACAAGAAAAGCAGGAAGTGCAAGTTAAAAGCAAATTAGATGAGCGCTTCCTGCAGCACAGGGAACAACCTCATCATCGGGGCTTACCGTTTTTTCCCGATTTGCATACTGAGGTGTGTAAATCGTGGAAGAAACCCCATTCTTCTCGTGTTTCCAATCCCACTATATTAAAATATAGTAATATCATGGGGGCACGAGAGAATGGTTATGGGATGATGCCGTGGGTTGAACAGCCTTTGGCTAATTATTTATCACCTGAGTCGGCATCATCCTTTAAAGCCCCGGTGCTGCCCACCAAGCCATGCAGAGAAACATCTTCACTGGTGGGCAGGGCATATATGGCTGCGGGTCGGGCTGGTGCGAGTCTTCACACCATGGCGCTTCTCCAAGCGTACCAGGCCGACCTTCTTAAGGATATTGATGAGGGCGAGGGACCAACTCCGGAGGATGTGGCGGAGTTGAGGAAGGTCGCTGATTTGTCTCTCCGAGTCACCAAAGAGACGGCCCGCGCTGTCGGTCGCTCCATGGCGGCAATGGTGGTCTCGGAGAGACATTTATGGTTAAATCTGACGGGCATCAGGGAGAAAGACAGGGCTTTCCTCCTTGATGCCCCGATTTCGCCTTCTGGCCTGTTCGGCGACACTGTTAATACCGTTGTCGACAGGTTTCAGGAGGCGAAAAATCAATCAGCGGCCTTCAAACAATTTCTCCCTCGTCGCTCAGTATCCGGGAAGTCTGCCCCCAGTGGGCAGTCGCAGCCTCAGCCAGGTACCAGCTCCTCCACCTACAGGCAGGTTCAGAGAGAGAGCGTCGCGTCTAGAGCCCCCCCCTCAAGGAGCTTGGGGGCATAGACGGCGCTCTCAATCTAAGCCGCAAGCCAAGCAGGGCGACCTGAGGGCCGTCCTGCAGGCTAAGAAAACATCTAAGAGGTCCTAGCAGTGCTAGGATCTCTGCGGGCGGCCCCACCCGTGATGGAGCGACTGAGGTCGTCTCAGGGAGCAGACGTCCTGTCGAGACAGGGGCTGAGGCCCGGGGATTGGAGACTTCACCCCGAGGTGGTGGAGTCGATATGTCAGAGGTTCGGCCCTGTGGAAGTGGACCTGTTTGCGTCTCGAGAGACGACCCACTGTCCGCTGTGGTTTTCCCTCACCCCTCCAGCCCCACTGGGGCTGGATGCTATGGTGCAGACGTGGCCGAGGCTGCGTCTGTATGCATTTCCCCCGATCGCTCTGCTCCCGGGAGTTCTGGAAAGGGTCCGTCGCGACGGGATCAGTCTACTGTTGGTAGCCCCGTTGTGGCCGGCCCGAGTATGGTTCTCGGACATAATATTGCTCCTAGACGGCCCTCCGTGGGAGATTCCCCTCAGGAGGGACCTGCTGACACAGGCGGGGGGCTCAATATTTCACCCTCGGCCGGAGTTATGGAAACTGTGGGTCTGGCCCCTGAGGGGGCACAGTACCTAGAGGCCGGCCTGTCAGCTGGAGTAGTGGAGACCATACTCAGCTCTAGAGCTCCCTCCACGAGGAAACTGTATGGTTTAAAGTGGAATGTGTTTATTGATTGGTGTAGGAGGCGTGAGGTTGACCCAGTTAACTGCCCAGTGGCTTCAGTGCTGGAGTTCCTCCAAGATCGCTTCTCCTCTGGTCTTACCCCGTCCACGCTCAAGGTGTACGTGGCTGCCATTGCGGCTTTCCACGCTCCGTTGGGTGATGGGTCTCTGGGGAGACACCAATTGATCGTACGTTTCCTCCGTGGAGCTTGGAGGATGAGACCTGCGGCTCGTACCAGGGTTCCCTCTTGGGACCTGGCAGTAGTTCTAGAAGGATTGGCTGAGGCCCCCTTCGAGCCACTGGAGTCGGCTGAGGCCAAGAACCTAACGCTGAAGGTCGCTTTTCTGTTGGCCATCACTTCTCTGAGGAGGGTGGGAGATCTTCAGGCGCTCTCCATATCTAACGAGTGCCTGGAGTTTGCTCCAGGCAACATTAAGGCCATCCTTCACCCTAGGCCTGGCTATCTGCCTAAGGTGCCATCTAATGTGGCACGGCCTATGGTTCTGCAGGCATTTCATCCCCCACCTCACCTGACGGCGGATGAGGAGAGACTTCATAGGCTCTGCCCTGTCAGAGCACTAGGGATATATATTCAGAGGTCCTCTTCATGGCGGAAGGCGGACCAGTTGCTGGTATGTTTCGGGTCGCCCAAAAAGGGGTTTCCGGCCTCAAAACAAACCATCAGCAACTGGATTGTCAATGCGATTTCCACAGCTTATCAGGTGCGCGGTATGCCTTCACCTTTGGCTGTGAGGGCCCATTCCACTAGAGGCATAGCATCCTCTAGGGCCCTTCTCGCAGGGGCCCCCATCCAGGAAGTCTGCGATGCAGCTGGATGGGCTACCCCACATACCTTCATTAGGTTTTACAGCTTAGACATTCCGTCGACACCCGGCTCTCTTGTGCTCGCGTCCTGAGTGTGCCTGTGAGCAGCTTCACACCAGGACAGGCAGGGCGCGTTGTGGCGTAGTGGGTACTCGTTCCCCCAAAGTGTCACTTGGACGCAGTTTGAGTTCCCTCGATAGGGAACGTCCTCGGGTTACGACTGTAACCCTTGTTCCCTGAGAAGGGAACGAGAACTGCGTCTCGTGGCCACGCCTTCCCCTGCCTGGGAGCGCTTGCTTCATCACAGAAGCTGACATGTTGTGTGTGCCGGTTCCTTATATATGCTTCCGCCTATGTGTCGTCACACATCACGTCATCACGTTGATCCAATCGGAGATTGGCTTAGTTTCATTCATGCTTCAGAGACGCTACGCTGAGGGGCGTTCCCCCCAAAGTGTCACTTGGACGCAGTTCTCGTTCCCTTCTCAGGGAACAAGGGTTACAGTCGTAACCCGAGGACGTTTTATTGATTGAAGGATGGATGGTTTATGGATGGGTGGTTTATGGATGGATGGATGGGTCAGTGGTAGATGGGTGGGTGGTGGATGGATGGATGGATGGATGGATGGGTGGGTGGTGGATGGTTTATGGATAGATGGGTGGGTGGGTGCTTTATGGATGGATGGATGGATGGTTTATGGATGATGGATGGGTCGGTGGTTTATGGATGGATTGATGGATGGTTTATGGATGGATGGGTGGTTTATAGATGGATGGATGGGTAGGTGGTTTATGGATGGATGGATGGGTGGGTGGTTTATAGATGGATGGATGGATGTGTGGTTTATGGATGGATGAATGGGTGGGTACTTTATGGATGGACGGATCGGTGGGTGGTTTTATGGATGGATGGATGGATGCTTTATGGATGGATGGATGGATGCTTTATGGATGGGTGGATGGATGAATGGATGGGTGGGTGCTTTATGGATGGATTGATGTTTTTCCCCCATGTACCCCACACTGGTAACAGTAGGTGCATTTGAGTGTCTTGCAAAAGTATTACCATCTTGGCACTTTTTTCTTTATTTTCCAATTCCCTGTCAAGGATCTTCAGTTCATCCACTGTTTGGCATGGCCCATTTTCCAGGATTTCCCCACCTTCCTCTGTCACCGTAACTGCTACTGCAGCCAGTAACTGTCTCTGCATAGCCAGGATGTCTTGCTGGTTGTCGACAATCTCTTGTAGCTTTTGTAAGACTTTTGTCCGATAGCCTGTGAAGCAATATCGTATAATGCTCCTTGAATGTGCAGTTTTACTGTAGTGTTAAAAATCTAAAAACTGACTTACTTTTTGTTTTAGAGTTAGAATACTGGGGCTCTTCTATGAGGAACCGTAAAGCCGCTGTGAAATAAAAAAAAAAAAAATCACTCTAACTAGAATTATTGATAATTATAATGAATGTAATATTCTGAATTTTAAAATATAATATTCTGAATTTTGTAATAATACCTTCAAGAGGCTGTGATATACTTGGCAGTTGGGACTCCTGCAGCGATTCCTCTGCTGCATAAACAGACTAGTCAATTACCAAACCGGTTTCACAGACAAGGCTTACAGTGAGTCTAGTCCTAGACTAAAATTTAAATCTGAGCTATTTCAACTGAAAGAAACTTGCAATGACTGATCTTACAACATGTCAGTGCATTTGTTTTGTCTAAATATGCACACCAGTAATTCTTTTTCTAACGCATGTTTATATAACAAAAAAAATCTTAAATGTCCTAATTTAACTATGACCTAATCCTGGCTTGGGCTAAGCCCTGTCTGTGAAAACAGGCCATAGATTCAGTATTAATGAATGAGTTGCAGGTTACAATTAACCATGAAAGAAAAGTAAAAAAAAAAAAAAAAAAAAAACTTACAGTGTTGAGAAAGTGGTGAACTTCCTTCTTTTGCAGCGAGTGAGAGAGAGAGAGAGAGAGAGAGAGAGAGAGAGAGAGAGAGAGAGAGAGAGACGTTGACGTTTAAATATCTCTTTACTCAATCAAAAATTACATTACACACTTAACAATGATACAAAATAAATAATAAATAAATAAAAATTCACCAGACAAAAGATAAAACATCATCCTCACACAACACAAACAAACCACTATTTACGAACCATTTGCACATAAATTCAACCATATTTCCTGTAGTTTTAAAGAAAATATATTCAGCCCTTATTCTTGATTCAACAAGTGCTGTAAACAGGCTTAGAACTTTAACAATTCGTCCTTCAAGAGCAAGCCTACAAGTCTTCCAAATAAAGTCTGCCCAAGAATAAAATTAGCAATAGTACAGCGATCCTTGTTCACTTTAGTATACCTACAGCCGTAAATAAAAAGTATTCTGTTAAAACCAAAACCCAACCCATCAATAATTCTACCCAGCAAGGCAAAAAGTGGCACCAATCTTGGAGATTCAATGAAAACATGAAAAACTGTTTCATGACTATTACAGGCATGACATAAGGGCAAAACATTCAAGTTGAATTTAGACACAAAAACATTAGTGGCTAGCACACAATGTAACACTCTCCATTGTAGATCACCTGAGCGTTTTGGAAGGGGACTTTTATAAAAAAGCCTCCAAGAAGGATTAATATCATCTGCAACTGTGAGTTTTTCCCTCCATTTTGTGTCATATCTGTCATGAAGATCATTAAAATAAGCAGTTTTTACACAGACCTGATACATGTCTTTTTTCTCCACTGTATGAAAAAGTAGCCCTTTTAATCTCTCAAACTTTAACAAGTTCCCAACCTGACTGGTTTCCGGGCAAACTCCAGGACACACACATAAATTGGGAAAAGTGAGATGTGTAGGCCCACCCTCTAATGAAAGCTCTACAAACTGAAAAAGAGGAGAGGGAAGAGCAGCTTTTAAGCCTGAAATCAAGCGCTCTACCACCCTCACAGACCTCAAATCAACCTGCCTGGCAACATCTTCTGCTGATCTCCACTCTTTTAAGTCCAAATTAATCAAGTGTCCCACTTTAGTAAAACCTTTCTTCATACATAACTTAACTATACTATTAGACACGCAAACATTTCCTAAAAAAGGATTAAAAAACAGTGGTTCATTCAATCCATAATGATCATTTTCAGACTGATTGAACGTAAACACTTCCCAAGATTTCAAAACTGATGCATAGAAATCAGCACCAATTGTAACCTTTTCAATCAAAGGTGACATCAAAAACAGTTGTTTATCAAGAGAATCACAACAAAACGATCTTAGTAAAGTTAGTCCAAATGACACCCAAGGGATAAATTCTGTAGAAAAAAGCAGTCTCTGAGCAGTTTTCAACCTCATGGCTCTGACTTTAGCTGCCAGTTCAATCAGTCCTTGTCCTCCTTCATCTACTGGCAAATATAAGATTCCAGAAGGAAGCCAGTGGAATCCATCCCAAAAAAAATCAACAAAATCCTTCTGTAGTTTTTGTAGTAGTTCTTTCGGGGGGTTAATAACAGTCAGCCGATGCCACAGCATAGATGCTGCTAAATTGTTTACAACAAGCACCCTCCCTCTATACGACATTTGGGGAAGAATCCACCTCCATTTCTGTAGGCGACCAGACACTTTTTCATAAACGCCTTCCCAATTTTTCTGCATGTATTGCTCTGTTCCAAGGAAAACCCCCAGCACTTTAAACCCCTCTGAACTCCAGGGGCAGTGCTGAGGAAGACGAGGAGCAGGCCTACCTTCTTCCTCCCATTGGCCTAATAACAAAGATGTACTTTTTCTCCAGTTGACTCGAGCTGAGGAGGCTTTTTGATAAATCCCAAGAGCGGCTTCCAAAAAGCCCACATCTTCATTTGATCTTATTATTACAGTGACATCGTCAGCATAAGCGCTGAGTTTAACAGTTGCCATCTCTGATGTAAAATGGCCCGTGGTTGAAATTCCGCAAAGCTGACGCCTCAGAGTTGTTAGTAACGGTTCAATGGCCATGGCATACAGAATACCTGACAAACTACATCCTTGCCGTATGCCTCTCCCAACTAAAAAAGGTCTTGTGAGTGAGCCACTTATTTTTAAGAAACTATAGATATCAGTGTACAGTAATTTAACATAAGAACTAAATAAAGAACCAACACCGAAAGCTTTAAAACATTTAAAAAGATACTCATGATCCACGCGATCAAACGCTTTTTCCTGGTCTAAAGATAAAAACCCAACATTAACATTATTATCTCTGGCAAAAGAAATCAAATCGCGAAGCAGAAACAAGTTATCAAAAATTGTACGTTTTGGAATACAGTATGATTGGTCTACGTCAATTATTGTTGATATGTACAGTTTTAATCTATTAGTTAAAGCTTTAGACAGTATCTTATAATCCACTCCAAGCAGAGACACTGGTCGCCAATTTCTAATATCCGCAAGATCCCCCTTCTTGGGTAGCAAAGTGATCAGTGCTCTTCGTAGACTCAGCGGTAAGGTGCCTCTTTGAAAGCACTCTAAAAAAACTGAAAACAAGTCTTCTCCAATCAGTAGCCAAAACTGTTTATAAAATTCTGCTGTTAAACCATCCAAACCCGGAGCCTTGCCAGAAGATAGATCATTAATGGCAGCAGTCAGTTCGTTGAAGTGCAATGGCTGATCAAGCTTGGCCTTATCACTCTCCCTCAAATGAGGAAGATCCTGGAGAAATGTTTTTGTTAATTCTCCATCACATGGTTCTGCACTATAAAGATTTTCATAGAAAAGCAGTGCTTGAGTAATTATTTCATGCTCGTCAGTCGTTTCACCTCCGTCTGGAAGTTTCAGACGACTTAAAACTCTTCTATCACCAACTTTCTTCTCTAAGTTGAAGAAAAAAGATGTTGGAGCGTCCATGGAATTAAAAGAAGTTAACCTTGCACGAATCAAAGTCTCTTTAGCTTTCTCTTCCAGGAGATTGTGGAGAAGAGTACTTCCATCACATTGTTCAATGTTCAGCTGCAAAATGTCCTGTTCAAGTCGTCTTATTTTGTTTTCAAGAGTATTCTTATTGTAGGCAGTATACTTCTGACAAAACATTTTGATCTGAACTTTACTGATGTCCCACCACTGACTCAGGGACTTGTACTGAGATTTACTCTCTCTCCACATCTCCCAGAAAAGTGAAAAAGAGTGCACAAAGTTGTGGTCCTGCAACAGCTTATTGCTAAAGCGCCAGTAGGGACATTTAAATGTGCTCTGTGCAGATGTGACATTGACAGACATATAATGATGATCTGAGAAAGGGGTGGGAGTAATACAACTATTAAAAAACTTGTCACAAACACTCCTTTGCACATAAATTCTATCAAGACGTGCTGCAGAAACCCTATTCAAGCTTACTTTTATCCATGTATATTGTTTTACATCAGGAAAAGCTTCTCTCCAAACGTCCACAAGATCATAAACAATCAAATTTCTAAAAACATCTGCTGACGGACTATGAGGTTCTTCATGATTTCTGTCCACTGTATGATCTAAAGTACAGTTAAAATCTCCAGCCAAAACAATAAATCTATCCTGTGGGACACTGCTTAATGCTGTATGAAGTTTTCCAAAGAAAAGTGTGCGTTCAGTCCCAATATTAGGAGCATATACATTAAAAAGTGAAAAATTCAACCCATGTAAAGCAACATCTACTCTTTGCATTCTACCAGGTATAACATCAAAAACGCTCACACTCTGTTCCTTAAACTCAACTCCAAGAAGAATAGCCACTCCAGCACTGTTACTTGAACCATGACTCAGAAAAACCTGTCCATCCCATTCACTCTGCCACTGAATTTGATTTTTAACATCTGTGTGAGTTTCCTGTAGAAAAACAACACTACTTTTTTTCATCAAAATATAATCAAAAACACTAGTCCTTTTCAAAACCTCACGACACCCATTAATATTCAATGAACTAAATCTCAAAGGTGCCATGAAAAATAATAAAAGATAACCACACAATAAAATAACTCCACAAGGGTTATTTAACATCCAAAACTTTCTCATTTTTTACTTTGCAAATTCAAAGAACTTCTAACGTTACTCAGAAGTTTCTTGAGACGGTACCGTTTTGGTTTATCAAGCTCTTCAAAGGAAGCTTTTCTCATAGCAAAGGTGCCGGATAATAAAAATAATTTTACATCCGGAAAATATGAATCAATTCTAGGTTTACGATGTCCTTTAGTAGTGTCCAAAAAGTGATTGATCTGCTGAATCGAATAAAGTTTGGTCTTACCTCCAGAGATAATGTCCGAATCCACTGCGTAATCTCTCATTAACTCCGTATCATCGTGATCATTATCAGAGTCTTCCATTAAATCCACAGGGTTTTGAGATGGCATGTCAACATTACACTGTTTAAACGCTTCCTCAGTATCACTCACACTTCTATCCAGCTGCGACTGTCCTCCATCGCCAGACAAATCAGTTTCAGGCACGGGCTTCAAACCCACCTGTCCCGGGCTCGTCTCCGGCTGCGTTTCAGTGGGAGCATGGCTCGGCCCGGCCACCTCCTCAACAGCCGTCTCCAGGCCGTTTCCAGAGGCCTCCAGCACCGATCTCCCCTCGGGCACGTCACCGAGCGCAGAGAGCGCTCCGTCCCGCAGCGGTTCTGAGGCCACAGCGGCCGCAGCAACCTCCGCGCCGGCCGCCCTCTCGGTGCTCTCCACACCTGCAGCCGGATCGGGCCCGTCTCGCCTCGGACAAGTCTGTCTTACATGTCCAAACTCACCACACACAAAGCATTTCATTGACTCTGAACTTATAAAAACAGTGTAATCCTTTCCCTCGATACTCAATTTCACCGACAGATTCAATGGATCACTCTGAGAATTCAGAATCATTAACGCCTGACGCCGAAAAGACATCACGTGTCTAATCTCGGGATTTTTGCATCCCAGAGGAATCATTTTAATGGGACTTACTATTTTACCATACCTCTGTAGAATTTGCTCAAGTTTTTCATTTTTAACAAACGGAGGTATGTTAGATAAAATGACTTTCTTTGCTGGGCTTGACAAAGGCAAAACAGGCACAAAAATATTGTTGATTGTCAACCCGGTTTCAATTAACTCATCCACCATTTGGCTTTCACTAAGGAAGAAAACAATAGCTTTGTTCATGCGAGAGGCAGATTTTATATTAGCACCTCCAATCACTGCACTCACAGCTATCAAACAATCCTCGACTGATACCGTGGCCTCAGGCATACACTTACAACCATGTTTAATGGTTAACTGTGAAAGGTCCGCCATTTCCGACCCCATTATCCTCTCTCTCTGACCGAAGTCAGGAGAAAAACTAAACCTATGAACTATGAATCAGTAATATCAAAAAAGAATAGAAGGGAAAAAAAAGAAATCTCACTCAAACAAAGAGACACTTTCACTCCCAACAACCGGCTCCTTCCACACTCACTCCGCACATCCGCACAGAGAGAGAGAGAGAGAGAGAGAGAGAGAGAGAGAGAGAGAGAGAGAGAGGGGGGGGATTTATTCATCCATTCATTGTGATTGTCTAAAAAAGCATACTAAAAACCCTTGTCCAGAGGATGAATATTTGAGAAAGAATCTGTAAATACAAAATTAAATGGATGTTAAATGGAGACATTGGGTAATAGTCATGTGGCCCATACTATAATTGTGGGTACATCTCATGTCTGTGAGATCATTTTGATTCTCATCATTATAAAGCCTCAATGCACACTTTTCTTGTACAAAATTATATTTAATAAGTATAGACTATAGACCCAAACATAGTCGGTAAAATAGTTGACCAGGAACATTGTTATATGCTTTTTGAAACATACATGAGTTTCTGGAAAAAAAAAATAAAATAAAATAAATATATATATATATATATATATATATATATATATATTACATTGTCAAATGTACCCCAAATTATAGAATGACTCGTGACTCCTACTTGCGTTAAAAACTTACATTTTGGTGGATGAGGTTTTGACAGATCTGTATTGCCCTTTGGTCCTTTGGTAACTCTGCCATCATCTGAAATGGAAACATGCTTTAAAATGGACTTCACAAATTGTTATTTATAATTATGTAGGCTTTTTCCAGTTATTATTTTTTATTTTTTTTCAATGGATATAGACAAAATTCTTTCAAGTAATTTGATTAATCACCATTTGAGGAAGAATCAATTTCCGATTGATCAATTTCCAATTTTTTTTCACTGTGGAGAAGTCTTCGGTTTCAACATTTGGGGTCTCCACCACACGAAGGCATTTCTGAAGACCTTTAGTGTAAGAATCTTGAAAATACAGTAAATATTAAATATTGAAAAATATTAGATAGTATAATAGTAGATTCATTTAAATAATGCAAAACTTCATTACCTGTTTTTAGCCAAACTTTTTTTAATAGACATCGCCTCCACTTCGCTTTGTCTGGCAGAGAGCAGTTTTTTACCAGTTTCCTCGTGTTTGTAAATGTCCAGTAACAAAACATCCCCTGACAAAAATGATTTGCCATTCTTGAACTGATTTAGTAATGTAATTACAGTATGTAAATGAATGAGAAAACAAAACAATACCTCTTTGGTTTCCTCCAACCATGACATTGGAATTATTTCAACGGCACTATCCTCAGCAAATTCCACAACTGCAAAACGTTTTGTGTCCATCTGTTGAGATAAAAAGATTAAAAAAAAACATAAAAATTATACATATATTTATACAGAAGGAAATATTTAATAAGATAATTTACACAGTGTATTATATCTGTTCAATAACTTATTGCTTAAAATAACTGTTTTAATTAACAATAACATTAATAATTTTAATGACCTTCACTGTTTGTCCTCCTTGGCTTCTCTGAATGTCCTTAAATGGTGAATTAACAGTAGATATAACTAATGCATTGGCAGTCTCTTGGTGTGTGAGTGAGTGAGTGAGTGAGTGTGTGTGTGTGTGTGTGTGAGAGAGAGAGAGAGAGAGAGAGAGAGAGAGAGAGAGAGAGAGAGAGAGAGAGAGAGAGAGTGAGTGTGTGTGTGAGGGAGAGAGTGAGTGTGTGAGTGAGAGAGAGTGAGAGAGAGAGTAAACACACACTCACTCACAGCCTAAGACCTACACACATGTATATAATGTTCAATATTTTTCTTTTTTATGTATATATATATATATATATATATATATATATATATAGATGATTTCTAAATCCATTTTATTTTATTTATTAATCTGTTCATTTTATTATTATTGTTTTATGATATCAGTTTTAATATTTTGTGTACTAAATGTTCCAAATCATTTTCTATGTTGTTTTGACGCTTTGGCAATACAAAATGTTTTTTTTTTTTTTTGTCATGCCAATAAAGCTTTCTGAATTTAATTGAATTGAGAGAAAGAGAGAGAGAGAGAGAGAGAGAGAGAGAGAGAGAGAGAGAGAGAGAGAGAGAGAGATTTTTTTTTTTTGAGAATTCACAAAGATTTTATTTACAAAAAATCATCGTTACAATTATATAACCAGAAATTGAAACTAAAAAAACAACGAAAACAAATCAATAAATTGTGAAAATTAAATCTTCTTCAAAAACAGCACATAGAGCATCATTACAGCTCCAAATATTTTCAAAAGAAAACAAATCACCAATACATTTATAATAATAAAAATCAATTAAGATTCTAGATTGTACTAAGTTAAAAAACAATACAACAATGTTTTGTACTACATCCTGTTCAATTTTTTTTTCTCCTGCTTAAATAGATAGCCATTTTTGCTTGTCCCACCACAAAATTAAGCAGTTGACACACAAACTTTTTCTTTAAGACATATTTACATCCTAAAATGAAAATCTCTTGTGAGAATACCTCATTGCATTTTTTAAATACATCCTTTATAACGGAAAACAATGGTTTGAGTCTATAACTGTCACAGTCTGCGTCTTCACCTGTTTCAGCACTACACTTCCCAGGATCCTCTCGTCACCCTATCCCGTGTTCACTCCCTCATCAGCCACCTGTTCCTCGTCATCATCATCTGTTTCACCTGTTCTCACCCCATTATGTTTAATTATTCTGTGTATTTAGTTCCCTCTGTTTTACTCATGATTGTCGGTCGATGTTGTATGTTACCCGGTGTTACCCTGCCTTCCTGCCTGTATCACTATTAAATTACTTCTTCATTGTGAATCTGGACTCCTCCCGTTCCTTCTACCTGCACTCCTGCACTCCTGCACCAGACCCCGTGACAGATCGACCGACCGCAAACCAACAAAGATGGACGACCAGATGGAGGTTTTCCTCTTTGAGCAGAATGGGCCCCTTTGGAGGAATTCGTAGAGGTTTATCTTCACCTACACCAGGACATATACTGGGAGGAGGATTTCCTGAAACTACGGTTCTGGAGAGGTTTGGACGACCCATTAGCCCAAATTCTACTGCTCGATGACCTCCATCTGCCGTTTTCCGAGTTTTTGGACAGGGCTCTTTGGGTCTGTGGTTCGTCCCTTACGGTCACACCAGTCCAGCCCGAGTCCAGCCCTGTCGAGTCTGCGCTCACCGTCAGCCCTGCCGAGCCCGCACTCACCGTCAGCCCTGCCGAGTCTGCGCTCACCGTCAGCCCTGCCGAGTCTGCGCTCACCGTCAGCCCTGCCGAGCCCGCGCTCACCGTCAGTCCTTTTGAGACTGAACGCCCTTCACTGCTGGTTCCGTCCAGCTCTTCAGAGACTGAATGCCCTTCACTGCTGGTCCCGTCCAGCTCTCCAGAGTCTGAATGCTCTACACTGCTGGTTCCGTCCAGCTCTCCAGAGACTGAATGCTCTTCACTGCTGGTTCCGTCCAGCTCTTCAGAGACTGAATGCCCTTCACTGCTGGTCCCGTCCAGCTCTCCAGAGTCTGAATGCTCTACACTGCTGGTTCTGTCCAGCTCTCCAGAGACTGAATGCTCTTCACTGCTGGTTCCGTCCAGCTCTTCAGAGACTGAATGCCCTTCACTGCTGGTCCCGTCCAGCTCTCCAGAGTCTGAATGCTCTACACTGCTGGTTCCGTCCAGCTCTCCAGAGACTGAATGCTCTTCACCGCTGGTTCCGTCCAGCTCTCCAGAGACTGAATGCTCGTCACCGCTGGTCCCGTCCAGCTCTCCAGAGACTGAATGCTCTTCACCGCTGGTCCCGTCCAGCTCTCCAGAGACTGTATGCTCTTCACCGCTGGTTCCGTCCAGCTCTCCAGAGACTGAATGCTCTTCACCGCTGGTTCCGTCCAGCTCTCCAGAGACTGAATGCTCTTCACCGCTGGTCCCGTCCAGCTCTCCAGAGACTGAATGCTCTTCACCGCTGGTCCCGTCCAGCTCTCCAGAGACTGTATGCTCTTCACCGCTGGTTCCGTCCAGCTCTCCAGAGACTGAATGCTCTTCACCGCTGGTTCCGTCCAGCTCTCCAGAGACTGAATGCTCTTCACCGCTGGTTCCGTCCAGCTCTCCAGAGACTGAATGCTCTTCACCGCTGGTTCCGTCCAGCTCTCCAGAGACTGAATGCTCTTCACTGCTGGTTCCGTCCAGCCCTCCAGAGACTGTATGCTCTTCACTGCTGGTCCCGTCCAGCCCTCCAGAGACTGAATGCTCTTCACTGCTGGTTCCGTCCAGCCCTCCAGAGACTGTATGCTCTTCAATGCTGGTTCCGTCCAGCCCTCCAGAGACTGAACGCTCTTCACTGCTGGTTCCGTCCAGCCCTCCAGAGACTGAACGCCCGTCACTGCTGGTTCCGTCCAGCCATCCAGAGACTGAACGCTCTTCACTGCTGGTTCCGTCCAGCCCTCCAGAGACTGAACGCTCTTCACTGCTGGTTCCGTCCAGCCCTCCAGAGACTGAACGCTCTTCACTGCTGGTTCCGTCCAGTCTCTCCGAGCCCGAGCTCTCTTCTTCGCTGGGCCCGACCAGCCCAGCCCCAGAGACCGTCCAGCCAGCGCCACAGACCGTCCAGCCTGTGCCGGAGACCGTCCAGCCTGCTCCGCCCTGGTCTCGCCCTCAGCCTGCTTCGCCCTGGTCTCGCCCTCAGCCTGCTCCGCCTTGGCCACGCCCTCAGCCTGCTCCGCCCTGGCCACGCCCTCAGCCTGCTT